GCGGCCAGATCCACGATTGACATTGGCTGCTTACAAGTATCTTTGAAATTCTGGATAAATCGGTGCTTCAATTTGGCCCATGATCCGATAGAGTTAGTTGGCAAGCTCTTCAACCAAGTACGAGCTGTTCCTTTCAACATCATGGTGAAATATTTAGCACACACTGCCTCATCCACATCTAGCATCTCCATTGCCATCTCATAGCTCTCCACCCACGCCTCTGGTTGCAAATCGGCGGTGTAATTTGGTACCTTACGAGGTCCCTTGAAGTCCTTGGGCAGTCTCATGTTACGCAAAGCGGGGGTGAGACACGGCACCCCTAAGAAACTGAATACCACACCTGGCTCTACTAAAGCCGTAGGGTGAACCGGTTGGGAGGGCTGCCAGGCGTGAAGCGGCGGCCACAATATTGTCCAAAGGGTTGGAATAATGCCCGGGAGGCGTTGGTACATACTGTGGCACAACGTTGTTCTGGCGAGGCGGGTCCATCGTGCGCGGTTGAACCGGTGCTCCTGTTCCCGGTGCCTTCGCCCGGTTTAGTATGGGTTGGTTACTAGCTCCTGCTCCTGGTGTGTTGAAGAGATTCTGCGGCTCATAAACCGATGGGAGACGCGATCGGTACCTTCTTCTCATGACTTCCTCTGAAGCATTCTGATCCAGTCTAATCCGGTAGGCCTGTGCTTCCAATTCAGCCCGCTCTATAGCCATCCTAGCGTTCTCTGCCGCCAGGTCCGCTTTAGCCTGAGCTATCTGATCTTTCACCTTTGGAATCTCCGCATTGTGCTGATCCCTGGCTGCTGCATCCACCTCTGCGGCCATCAACATTGCCAAAGCGTCGAACAAATCAGACAGGACTTGGGCCGGAGGCGACGCAGAGCTTCCTGCCCCTGCCGGTGTAGCCGTCGTTGAACCGGAGAGTATTGCTGCGGCGGTCGATGAATGAGGCGCTGATTGTGTGCCGGCCATGAAGATGGCGGCCCGGTTTGGCAGATCAGGGGAATCCGGAATACTGTTGCCCTCGGATCCTCCATCAATCTGGTCGTCCTGCAACTGATAAAGCGATTCGGTCTCTCCAGAAGACTCATCATCAGAACAGACCACGGTCTCTCCATCGGACACCGGCCCATCCTCGTATCTCGATCCATGGATGACACCTACGAAAACATGCCTTGCCTCGGGCTGAACCGGCGAAGAACTTGCATGCCGAGCCGTTTTGATGATGTCGGTGCAGATGTCCGGCTCAGGGGCCGGTTCGCCGATCTTGCCGATGAAGACGTGAATCCCACTGAAGGGGACCCGGTACCCGTACTCGATTGAATCGGCCTCGGGACCCCATCCTGCATTGTCGATGTAGAGCTTGCCGCGACGACTCTTCGTCATCCGACCCACAGTGTATCCCTTAAGTCCATCAAAGCTGCCCTTCAATAACTCAAAACCATCGTGCGATAGCCCCACGGTGGGCGCCAACTGTTGTGGGATTGTCACGGCAGATGTCCTTGTGAAAGGACTTAGTCGTGGAGCCATCGCTACGGGTTAGCTCAAAGGGGTTAAACCGGACAAGGGGACACGGGGATTTTATACTAGTTCGGCCCCTTCAAGGAAGGTAAAAGCCTACGTCTAGTTGTGATTGGTATTGATAGGGTTTCGAAGGCCAGGGAGCGAATCCGCTTTGTTTGGCTCTCGAGTTGTTGTCTGTCCCTAAACCGCGGCTGGGTCGTCTCTTTATATACATAGGTTGACGCCCGCCGGGCTACAGAGTCCCGAAGCCGGATCATAAACGTATCCGGTTTGGTCTCTGTCCTTCCTATCTTATATACAAGTTACATGACTAGGTCGGTTACATTTACAGGCTTTAACCCGTCTTTGGGCCTTGGGCCTTCGTGAAGCGCCATCATCCTTGCATTTTCATGGGCTTTTAATTTTCAGGAGTTAACCCGGCTACAGAAGGCCGGTTTACCTCCAGTAGTAATATCCCCAACAATGTCCATCTTAAAAAATAGTACTCCCTCCGTCCCATACTAATTGTCACTAAAATGATGCATCTAGACGGGGGAAGTATGATGTAAGATGTTGTGTACCTTCATTTTCCCACACAAATCTAACTAATACGATATAGCCACGTCAGGCCGAATGATGAAGATGGTGCACTAGCTAGAGGTGGGGAGGGAGGGGAGCGAGTTGAATGGGAGACTACAAGTTTTAACTTTTTGGTTAGTTTTTTTTTCCAGTTTTTTTGTTACATCTGTTTTTATTCTTTTTCTTATTTTTTGTTTCTTAGTACACCTTCCCTATATTTCTTGTTTTGTCTTAGGTAGATGAACTTTTTTTCCCTAGAATGGTTTCATAATGTTGTGTTTCTTTTATTTTCAATTTATTTCTTTCATTTTTCATTTTATTTCTTTTATTTTTCATTTTATTTTCTTAACAAAATTAATTTTCCTGGGTAAATATACAAAGTTTTTATGAGAAACGTAGCCGCTTTTTGGATATTCATGGTTTTCAATTTCAGTTTTAGAAAAATTTCAGCACCAATCGAAATCACCAAAATTCAGTTAATTTCACTTATTTTAGTTTGCATTTTGGCCCAATGACCGAAATATTCACTTGACTTCAATTAAATATTTTAAGTTTTTGAAGAATATTTTGGAAAGATATTTGAATTCCTGTGCATTGTTGAAACCGCTGAAATATTTTGGCCGAAACGTAATTGTTTTAGTATATACTGAAATTCAGTGAATTTCATCGAAATCACACTGAAAGTGAAAACCATCATATGTGAATGTTTTATTATTAAAGCAGAGCATCTATGTCATTACGATATATAAACATTTTCTACAAACAGGAATATATTTTCAAAATGTATGAAACGTCTTTTAAGGACATGGATTTTTTTTGACATACATGAACCTATTTTCTACAACATATGGATATTTTTCATTTACTAGGGCATTTAAAAAATCCATGGATATTGTATGCATAAATGAAAATTGTTGGTATACACTTTTTTCTGGAAATACATGATTTTTTAAATTTATGTCACATTATTTGTTCCTAACTTTTAATACAGACTAGATGATACCCCGCACGTTGTTGCGGGATAAAAACTAAAACTGAAAATACATATAATTTATTATGTTTGATTACTATATAATTGTAAAAAAATTATTAAATCTAAATAGCATAGTAGAATGAAAATTCTCTTGGATGTTTGCGTGTTGAGATGAGTCTTTTTTTCATGCATGTTTAATGATGAAGTGACATGCTTGCATGTTGGGAGACATATGATAGTGGAGGTGGGCCTTTTCTCATGCATGCTATGGGATGATGTGGCATGCTTGTATGTTGAGAGAAATAGTTAGTGGGGGCTATCTATTTAGATATAGAAGATTAGATAGATAAGTAGAAATAAATATTATTTAAAGACTTGAAAAAAAAAGGAAAAAACCAATACCTGATATTGGGCTGAACCAAGGCCGGGCCATCCATGATGCGACTCTGTAAAAAAAAATCGGCTCCAGCTGGGCTAAGAAGGCCTACGTTACAGCTTTTAAGGCCACGATACAAAATAATGTCAAACACGACACGAGAGAAGCGAAGAAAAAGAAAACGAAAGAGGCGAAAACCTGATTCGCTACCGACCTGACCTCGCCGCCGGTCTCCGATTCTCCGCTCGCCTGCTCTGCTCTGCTCCGCCGCCTCTCCGGTACGCCCTCGGCTCGATCTCAGAAAGTCTCTCAAGCTTCCCTGCGTACCCTCCGCCAACCTCCGCCGGACTTGGAACTGCCTCCGCAAGTCCGACGAAGGTCTCTGCGGGGACTGGGATTGGGATAGTTTTTTTTTTCTATTTTCGGGAAGGGATTGGGTCTGATGACTGAGCGAGCTCTTTGAGTTGGAGGTAGAGCGTCAGATTAGCAAGGGGAGTGACCGCCAGCATGCCGTCTTAGCATCGTTTTGCCCCTCCTTTTTGGCGATTTTGGAGCGGGTAAGGGGAATTTATGTAACCACATCTGTTCGTCGCGTGTAAGACAGGAGTCTGCATTATGTGGCTGGTTGTGATACCGGAAGTTTGGATTTTTAAGTCAACAAGGGGGTGATGGAGGTAGAATAGAGGACGGCGCCAATAACATCTCCACTGGAGTTTTGGAGGATCAGGTTCAGTAGCTGAACATGTGCATAGCCGGAATGAGTCTCAAGAACCAAGATGTGTGTATTCTTACCTTTTGTTTTAGGCGTGACCGCATTGTGGTATCAATGCATTTCAGTGCCTTAAGCTTACTGCTTAGCATACATAGAAAAAATCTGTTCTGTTCCTTCGGATTCTGCTTCTAGTGCACGGGTGCATACGAAGAGCTTGAAATGACAGAGATCGGTAGGCCTTTCGTTGTTTGGCTGTCGACGGTATAGTATATGGTTGTGAGGAAGGATATTGCTTTGTGTGTTCTATTCATGCCTGTTACCTGTTTTATTTATGGTCCATGGTTTCGCGATTGCTCCATTTGTTCTGACTTAGGCAGGCGAGCGGACTATTTTGCTTTTGAACTGGCTGGGTTAATGTTAGTACAACCTATGTGCAAATATCACTTAGTAGTAAATGAGATGCATATATTAATTATTCAGTTGCTGGTTCTTGCAGTATATGTTTCGCACCTAGTTTATTGTAGTCTTAAATCATATGACGTTTACAAATCGTCATAGAAATATTCATATTCTCATAGACAGAACAACGTCAGCTTTCAGATTCCTTCTATTAAGATGGGTCGTTAGTGTTGGGGAGTCAGGACTTGGCGGCTATGTAGGACCTATGAACAAACATTGAAAAGTTTCTGCTGTTGCCATCATGCCATGTTGACATTGTACTTATTATAGCTGATAGCATTCTTTGTGGCGAAATGAATAAAATGCAAATGAAGGCCAAAAGCTACAGCAGAAGTGATTTTCAGTTTCTGTTGGGGGGCTTTTACAGGAAAAGGAAAAACAGTAGTACTGAATAATAGACAAGGATGGCTTCTACTGGCGTGAAAGATTTCTACCGGCAGAAGAAGAAAGGAGGTGCCGGCAAAACTTCAGCATCTTCCAAGAAGAAAACACAGAATTACACTGGAGGGGCCTCTGTTGGGGCTTCAAATAAGGCTCAGACAGCAGCACTAATTTCTCACGGATCCTTAGACCTCAAAGGTACTTTGCTGGAGAGATTGTCATGTGCACAGTGGAAACTTGCCCATGCTTTTTGTTTACAAACCATAATTTTTGCTTATGACCATATTGTTGCAGATGATTTCAGTGAGCAAGAGGAGCAGCTGCGGCAGTTTGACATGGACATGAAGTTTGGCCCATGCATCGGTGTCAACCGGCTTCAGCGCTGGGAGCGTGCTTCCGCCATGGGCCTCCAGCCACCGCCCCACCTTCATGATCTCCTAGCGCGTGCCTCCTCCGGAAACAACCGCAACAACGGCGGCCCCTCCCCTGAGTGCCTCTGGGAGGGTAAGATCTAGAATCAAGTTTCTTCCGCCAAGAGTGTTCCATGGCAACCTAGCAAGGCTTGCCTACTGTTTGGGACCATGTAGTTTAGTCTGAAACTTTTACCGCGCGAAACTCTCGCTGTTGTACTGAATCCTTGTCTGGTTTCCTTATCAGATGTTGCTACTTCCACTCTTGCCAGTGTCATCTTCAGTTTGCCCCGCGCAAGTTGCTTAATTGTGCCTTTTTTTCTTCTTCAAAATTATGCCATCCTCGAGAGGATTTAATGGGCAGGTCCGTTTCTGTCTGATTCTTGTCCAGTAAGTACGGTTTTTTTGGTTTGCTCGTTTGTCAGGCGAACCAAACAACAAATTCATGGGCCATGACGGTGAAGTACACACAGAATTTAAAACCATGACCGAGAGGAACTCTGTCACTGTAGCACTGTAGCGTGACTTTGCACATAGGGAAGAGTTGAGCAGCACAGCTCGTGCCTTGGTACATTTCGTGTCTCCGTGTCTGATGGGACGAGACGCCGTGCCAGGTACATACTCGTCCACTACTACAGTGTTCGACTCAGAGCCACTACTACAGTGGTCGACTCAGAGGCACTGCCTGTCTTGGTCGACACTTGTCGTCGTCAGCTACAGCGTCCAGGCCGCTCCGCTGACTCGGTCTCTGTTTCCGTTCGTGTTTCGTGTCGGGCTGTGAGCGGCCGGATCGTCCGACTGTTTTTAGCGAGGATTCACTTTCAGTTTCGGTGAATGATACGCATACGGTACACGACAGTTGCTATTTTGTTCTCCGCTCCTTGTGAAGAAAACGATGTGATTGTCACCAAGTTCCCATCGATCTTCCGTACGTGCTCCTGTTTCTTGATCTTTCGTTAGCAACTCTTTTCCAGGAGGTTGAAACTTCAATGATGTACATGTCCATCTTTATTGTATTATTTAACAAAATTGGATGTGCCCTGACCTCGCCTCAACATACCATCTAATCAATGGCCTGGCCAAGCCGCCCCATGGCGAACCGAGGGAACCAACCAGTCTAGCAGACTCCAACACACAGCGCATGCGTACGCTCTAAAATCCGCCACAACCATGTTCCGCCGTCCCATCTTCAGAAGGGATCAACACATTGACCTTGCCAAGCCTAATCGTCGTCGATGTCACCACGAAGCCAAACAGTGCCACCACCTTGCGCTCATCCATCAAGACACATTCATCCCTGAGACTCTGTTGCACCCAAGACCCGTCTTCATCGATGCGGTAGATTCCATGCCGCTCCACCTCCTGAATACTCTATCAACTATCTGCTTCAAAACGATGCTCTCGAGAGGCATAACAGGACCGCAAGCTGTCATAGCTACATCTCAAGAAGTACTTTAACGTATACCCGAGCTTAATTAGTTTACTGGGCTACCTATATTGGAGCGATCGACACATATGCAAGTTTGTCTTTGCATAATGCACGTGAAAACAATCTTAAGGATAATGTAATTTTTATTATATTTGAGGTGCTTTGTAATTTCTATAAATTTTAATAATAGATCTAAATCATTATCGTTAAAAAAAACAATTTCGAGGAAGATGGAGGTTATCCAACATCTTGCTTGTTTAAGCATGGGCGATTAAACCATGGTTAATAACAAAGCCCGTTGCTGGCTATATGCCAATGCCACATCACATGAAGCCTGTATAAAAGCACACTAATACAATAGTTTGACTGTATGCTAGCTAGTACTACTATTTAATGTTTGCATGTAAAGAGAGGCAGGTATACACTCTTGATTGGTGCAATGGGAGGCAAAATTTCGTGTTTTGGCCCTTTTCTGATCTTTATTCCAGATCTGACCCTAGTTTGAAAAAAATTCGAGATCTGATCATTTTGCTACCGTCAGGGTCCATGACGGTAGGGTGTAACAGCCTATCGTCAGAGACCCTGGCGGTAGGAAACATCCCTACCGCCAAACAGAATGGCGGTAGCATGTACAACCCTACCGCCAATATGCTCGGCCATAGGCACGAACACACACTGTGTTCAATACTTAGCAAATTTTTGCGGTAGGGCATGCAACGACCCTACCGTCAGGGACCTTGGCGGTAGGCAGTTATACCCTACCGCCATGGACCCTGGCGGTAGCAAAAGGGTTAGATCTCGAAAAAAAATTAAACTAGGATTAAATCTTGAATAGATATCAAAAAAGGGTCAAAACACGAAAATTAGCCGCAAGCGGAAGGAACGCCTGCTCAAAGCACTGCATGTGGTTGCTTTTCTTGTTTCTCGCGCTGTAGCGAGCTGTAGCTGGAGCGCCCGCTCCCTTCTTTTTTTTTACCTCTTTCTCTTTCAGCAGTGATTTTCGGTGACGTGGTACTGCTTATAGCCGGCTGACTAGGCTGATTGTACTCGCTCGTAGCACAACTAATTCCCGAAATGATAAAAGGTAAGACCAACGAATTGTAGTAGTGTCCTTTGCCGTTCGCTACGAGCCAACACGTAGTTGTCCTTTTCTGCGTACGCTATACATCAGCACCACACATTTCAGTTTACACAAACAATGGTATCTTGACGTAGCTAGTAAGGTCGATCAAAAAACATAAATTACGTGGTACAAACCTTTTGTGCCGATGTGGTTAACAAATCGGGGGAAAGTGATACCAAATGAACGGATTTTGTCTTTTTTTTATCCGTTCGAGTCATCGCCTGCCTAGCAGGCACGCGTAGCTGGTCGATGTACCCAACACACAAGACATGGGACGGACATGCGAGGCAGCCAGGTGGAGGCACGCGATGTTTGGGAGACTGCGAAGGTCGTCCTCGGAGGCGGCAGCGGCGGTGCGCGCGGATGAGATGCAGTTGTGTCGTCCCTGAAGGGCTGTAGAGCAGAAAGGAGGAGGAGCACCATGGGCATGGGCATGGACATGGACATGGACCACGAGCCAGCTGCGTACATAGTCCCTGCCGGCGACGGAGCTGTCGTGGCCATGCAACAGTTTGCCAGAGAAGAATTTGGGGCCTGTTTGGTTTACGCCTCCAACTTACCCTACCAAAATATTGGTCATGCCAAATTCTTTATGTGTTGTTTGGTTTGTTGCCAAATATTTGGCTGCCAACAAAGTCCATTGTTGCTTCCTTCACAGATTCTTGTCAAATCTTTGGCCAACCCTGGGCGTTGGAATCCCACTCCAAATAATTGGCAAGCCAATATTGGCAGGGCAGCTATAGGCAAGAACCAAACATACCCTTGGATTCCTCCCCTCGCACCATGCCGCTGGCTGCAGCTTCCCTCCTCCTTCTCCACCTCTCTTGCGGCCTGGAGATCTCCTCAGCGCACGCCCGTCGCCGGCCTGCAGTTCCCGAGGTCTCCCCGGCAGATCCAGGGACAGTGGCTCAGCTCAGAAAGAGAGGCGGTGGCCTGCGACGGTGGTTTCTCCTGTGAGCGCGGCGACTGCTTGCTCCGGTGGCCTCGCCGGTGAGCGCGGCGGGCGGCCTACGCTGGTGGCCTCGCTGGTGCGCGGTTCCTCATATCGGTGGTTGTGGAGTCAGAGGTCCAGCTCATGCGCGGTTGATGATACTCCCTCTATTCCAAATTGTAGTGCGCATTTGGTTTTCTAAAAATATCAACAGAAATAATACCAAATAAATATAATATAAAGATATGTTAATGATGCATCCAATAATATTTATTTAACATAATAGATGTAGATATTTTCCTCTAAAAAATTGTCTTCTGAAATTTCTTATGCACACTATGTTTAGGAACAGAGGGAGTATGTGGGACCATGGCGAACACGAGAGGGCGCCAGTGCACGACGGAGTGTTTACTTCTGTCTATTCCATATCCATTTTGACCCATATTTACGTCAAGTCTGGGTCGGGACGGACAATAAACGGACACCAGATGGACAGTTTATCCGTTTGGGCCGCCTAGTTGTCCGGATGACCCAAACGGACTGAATGGTCCGCTGGTTGGAGTTACCCTAATTGATAGAAATGCATATATGTAGGGGAAAGATACTTGGAGAAAAATTGGCCTTCCACTAGTTTAGATGAAAAATTGGCCTATCATTTTTGGCACCGGATGTGTTTTTCCGACTTGAGCATAAATCGCCCGGCCTTTGTAGTTACGTATCGCGTGTCATACCGCGTGAGACACTGGTCAGCAATCCAAACTATTTGAATATATATCGAGTGTGATTCACCGCCAAATGTAGGCAAAAGTTGGACGCATGCAGGTTGCCTTCCCATGAACAAATCTTGGGGCCTCGTGCACCCCGCCTGCCGATGGGGAGGGACAAAGCCAGCGGGCAATTCTTATGTTGTTGGTGCACGAGCTGGGTAGTCTGCGGCGTGGGCCTCCCCCTACGCACTCCCCCGGTCCTGCCTGCTCCTGCTAGATGACCGCATGCCATGCCACCGCCTGCAACTTGCAAGTTGCGACTGCTGCATGCGTGATACGTCGTCCGGCCGTTTATGGCACATGACGTGAGTGCGTGCACGGGACATGGGCATGTACAATGGTGACATATGGATACATATGTTCCATGACAAAAATTAATTTAAGACACCTATATTAATTTTTTTTTTAATGCAAGCTATCATTAGTGGGTCTCATTAAGAAATAGAAAATAAAGATTCTAGTACATATGCATCTACTTTTCACTCAACCTTTTCAGCTTTTGTCACTAGGCCGTACTTTTTCTTTTCAAGCACCCGCCTCCTGGAAAGGACACCGCTTCCCTATCCGAACCTACTTTACGTCATATTCGATCCTACATGGCATGCGAGGCATCACCTTAAGGCTATGCATTGTACATGCCCTAAGACTACCGTGCAAAATAATTTTTCATGAAATTTTAGCTCATTTGAAGTTGTGCAGAGTAGGTATCTCTGATATAGTTTTTTTAGGTTTAGAATTCCAGTTGCCGACAATCTCCCTCTTCATGTAAATTTTATAAATTAAAAAAGAAAAGACATTAAAATTGCATTATAAAATGTTATAATGACAAAAAACATTATAATTAACAGTAAAAAA